CTGCAGCCAGCCCTCGTGGTTCTCGTAGGGCGTCGTCAGCACCTTGGTGAGGTGCCCCCGCCAGGTGATGAAGTCAGCGTTCACAGGGCGCCTGCAGGGGAAGAGGCAACGGGGCCACATGCCCACCATCAGTAGTGTTCAGAGTTAACATAAGAACGGCTGTACTGGGTCAGACCCAAGGTCCATCTAGCCCAGTATCCCTGCAGCCAGCCCTCGTGGTTCTCGTAGGGCGTCGTCAGCACCTTGGTGAGGTGCCCCCGCCAGGTGATGAAGTCAGCGTTCACAGGGCGCCTGCAGGGGAAGAGGCAACGGGGCCACATGCCCACCATCAGTAGTGTTCAGAGTTAACATAAGAACGGCTGTACTGGGTCAGACCCAAGGTCCATCTAGCCCAGTATCCTGTCTGCTGACAGTGGCCAGCACTAAGTGCCCCAGAGGGGGTGGACTGAAGACAATGATCAAGCGATTTGTCTCCTGCCATCCCTCTCCAGCCTCTGCCAAACAGAGGCCAGGGACACCATTTCTATCCCCTGGCTAATAGCCTTTTATGGACCTAACCTCCAGGAAATTATCTAGCTTCTCTTTACGCTCTATTATAATCCTAGCCTTCACAGCCTCCTGTGGCGAGGAGTTCCACAGTTCCCTGTTGAGCTGAATGGGGTCACATGAGGTGCCAGGCGCTGGGCACATGCTCTGTTGTCCCCCACACCGCACCAGCCCAGGGTGGTGTTCCTGTGGCACTGGCCCTGCCCCCTATCCCAAGGCTGAGCCAGGCATGTGCCAGTAGATGAAGGGCAGAATCCAAGGTCTCCCCTGCCCCCCACCTGGTTCCACGTGGGTGCTGGCTTCACACTGACCCCTGCTGGTTACCCCCAGCTGCTCCTATCCCACTGACCTCCACCCCCAGATCAGTGGTGGTCCAGGTAAAGGGATGGCTTCACACTACCCCTGCTGGTTACCCCCAGCTGCTCCTATCCCACTGACCTCCACCCCCAGATCAGTGGTGGTCCAGGTTAAGGGATGCTCCCCCCCCGTGTCCCCTGCCTCTCCCGCGCACCCCGTGGTGTCGCCCTCAGCCCGCAGCCGGTCCCGCTGCCC